GCCATTTTTCCTTTGAATAAAGTTTGTGTATTTAGTTCAGAAAATATAGCATCAAATTGTTTCCCTTCTCCAACTTTCAAATTTCACAACCAAATCTACAGAGTGCACCTTTAAGGCTACCTGTGCACACACTGTTTGTTGCCGACCTAATTTTATAACTTTTATTATCAATGTTTAATGCGTCTCATTACTGCACACTCCTTGTTTTAAGTTTGAATGATGTGCTATTTGTGTTAATAAAAGATTGGTAAAGGCTTATACGTCTTAAGCTGAGGCAGATCAGTGCATCGTTAATCACTGAGTGAATAATACTTGCTCTGTCATTGTGAAAAAGATGTCGACTCACTACATGACGAATGCATTCTTATGATCTAATGCGATTACTGTTATTACGTCTTTCATAAACATTAGAAGAAGAATAAAAGAGCCACTCAGAGACATTTGATGTGTTTGATTTCAAAAGGCAGAAAGCATCACAGAGTCCATGCTGTGTGTTGTTCATGTGAAAGAATCATTTCTCAACCAGCAAACACTGAAAAGTCTCTTTTCTCCTCAGAAGATAAACCTGACAGTGATTTCATACCCATCAATCATGTCTGTTGGCAGTTTGACATTCATCCAATGAAACTGAGAACAAAGAGCAGAGTTGTTTTAACCTTTTTAACCTTTCACCAACTGCTGACTGGTTTTATAAACAGGGATTAAAAAGTATAAAGGTGAAGTTACCTCATGCACCGATGAGGATTTAGAGAGTATTATTTATGACTTCAAAGGAAGTCAAGGTCGAGGTAATTAGCAAATAGAGATTTTAAAAAAAACGACAGTAGATGACATAAATGGAGTTTTTAAAAATGATTCATGTTGTAACTGTTTGAACATCATAGTTTATTTTCTTGCCACATTTTTGTTCTGTTTTTTTTTAATAACTTTATAATTTTATTAGGCTTATCAACCGTTTTGTGGACGACAACAACTACTAGAGCTGTCATAAAAAGGTAGTAAAACAATTAACATGTGGATTGACTTCTCTTGTGTGTAAATGTTTAAACAGACGTGCTCTTCGACCTTTCTGCAGACTCATACAGAGACTATCAGAGCGGCTTACAGTGGTGACAGTAAAGTTTCATTAAGCAAAACATCTTCTGCTCAAACTGCTTTTTTTTCTTTGAAAGGAACTCGCTTCCCGATTACTTGAAACTTGTGAACTTCACCACTTTGAAGAGAGAGCCACCAACAGTCTGTACTCATGTTTGATTTTTTGAAGTTATCACAGCTGAATGTGTTTCATTTTCTTTTTTCATTTTAACTCTTTGAATTTTGTCATTTACACAAAAGACCTTCTTGGAATGACTGTTGCAAATAAGCATCTGCTATAAATGCTAAATGGACTTGAGTTTATTTTTTTCTAGTCTTCTGTACGGTGGCTGGGAAGTGCAAAGCAAAATGACAAAGTGTTAAACACTTTTACAAAATTTGAGAGCATTTTGAAAAACATTTTTAAATTTTATCAAACAAAATTAGAAAACCAAAACACTTTTACCAAGGACAAAACACATTTACATTTTATGAAACAAATTTACAAGATTTGAAACACTTTTAACAGTCCCCGAACAAATTTACAAACAACAGAATCTTAACGGAAAGGGAATGTACCAAATGTTGGAATTGACCCGGAAGTGATTGACTGAGGGGTCATTTTGTTTGTTTTGGAGGAAAGACTTGGCGGACAGTCATACAGAGTTTGTGGTGACAGAAAAATGTTTTGCCCGTTTTGTAGAACTCATTTGAGCAAGATTAGTCAGTTTTGCTTTTCATGTGGACGGTCTCTCAAACATTTGAAGGATCCAGCATCTCAGAGGTCTGCAAATAACTCTGTCCAGAACTGAGACATATAGAAACCAATATAATCTTATGTGTATACATCCTGTCTATGATTAACATAAAAAATAATTTAAATTGAATTATCCGAACAGTCTTTCTGCCACAACAAACAAAGTGACCCCTCACTCAATCACTTCCGGGTCACTTCCGACATTTGGTAAATTCCCTTTCTGTCAAGACTCATTTGTCATTTGTAAATTAGTTTGGGGGACTGGTAAAAGTGTTCTGCCACTTGTACATTTGTGTCAGCGCTTGCAAAAGTGTTTAACATCTTGTAAATTTGTTTTCTAAAATGTAGATGTGTTTTGTCCTTGGTAAAAGTTTTGTTTAGTAATTTAGTTTTATAAAATGTGAAAAAATGTGACTACTCAAAGCACTTTCACACCGCAGGTCACACCTACACATTCACAAACTGATGGTAGAGGCTGCTGTGTAAAGTGACCATCAGAAGTAACGAATCACATTAAGACACATTCACACGCGGGAGCAAATCGGGGTTAAAAGTGTTGAGCCCAAGGACACATCAGGTAGTCGACTGTTCTGGGCTGTTTTTTAACCTAATATTTGCTTTAACCCAAATATTTAATCATAGACTGTAAATATTAATTTACTTATGTAATTTAATTAATTAATATTTAATCTACAGGAGACATCACGGACTAGTAAGAGAGTTCCTGCCGTTTGTGACCGGCGTGATGACGTTTAATGTCCCCGACAACCACTGTAGTCACATTTACTACATTATGTAGCATTCTATTAGAACGTTAACATTAAAATATCTGAATTAATAAAAAAATGTACTAAACCTTTGTTATATAATTTTTTACATTAACTCAAATATTTCAAACAGTTATAAAAGCCAGAGAAATCCGTTATTTTGTAGTTGTATAACGGCCGCCATGACAGACACATTTTTACCGTTGCCATGGAAACACCGGACATTACATTAAAGACCGCTACATAAGGAAGCGGGAGCTGCTACTCGAAGCTGCTGTTCTAAAAAAATAATAATAATAATAAATAAAAATTAAATAATAATAATAATAATAATAAAAAAATAATAAAAAATATTTAAAAAATTAAATAATAATAAAAAATAAAAATAAAAAAGCTGCCGTTCTGTTGCTGTATGAGCTGCTGTGATAAAATTGTAAATGTAAATTATACTCGGATACATTAGCTCGTCTGTAAACATATTCTCTTCCTCAGGTCCCCGCCAGCCTCAACATCATCTTTCCTTATTGTTTTGATTGAGCACCCCCTGGTGGTTGAATCTACATACTGTGCCTTTAATAAATAGGCACACAGGTGTGCTCATCTCTACACCATATAACCAAACTTATTGTCTTATCAGGAATAGTTACAGTCTAGAGAGTTGGTAGGAGGTTAAGGATTTCCTTCACAGCATTTAAAGCAGGAAATGAGAGGAGAACTAAATCAGCTTCATGTTTTTGAAGTCATTCGAGAGGCTAAAGCGCCTGTTTTTCTTAAATGAAGATTTTAAAATGTCAGCCACAAGGGGCAGCAGGGGTTCACATTTTTCACACACAAAAAACAAATCGAAACAACAGGCTTTGATGCCTTTCTTGTGAGATAGGACAGTGGATAGAGTTGTAACTTGGGGAGAGGGGAGAGAGAGAGTGAGTGGGGAACGACATGCAGGGAGGAGCATCAGGTCTGATTCAAACTCAGGCCATCTGCTTTGAGGATTAAAACCTCTGTGCATGGGCCCTGAACCACTCAGAAACTGGCGCCCCAGAGGTAGCGGATTGGATTTTCATAAACATAAACATCGCACAAAAAGTAAGGACATTTGTGTTTGGTAGATTATTTTGCTGTTGTAACAATGCTTCTTGGCAATAAATCTTACCCTGTTGGAAAGCTTGTTTATTTCCCTTTTAAATGGTGCCACATTTGTAAGGAACATGCATTTGTGGGATGAGCAGCAGAGCTGAGTAAGTGGGTTGCGCCCATGAAAAACTTGCCAAATCTTTTAATATTGTTTCACGTAACCACATGTTTTTTTTTTTCCCAGTCTCCACTCCGAGTTTTGTGTTTCTTTGTAGGATTTTTCCAGAACATAGTTAAAGAGGAATATTCTCCCCCTCCTCCACCTTTTCAAACAGTCCCCTGAGGTCTAAATGAAACATCTGGGCTTTGGTCAAAATATAACATGAATCAAGCACCAGAGGAGGTTTGTGACCCTGTATAAACCAGCTCTCTCAGAACGCTCCGTTTTGGTGTGTGTCTCTTTAAATACAATGAGCCCCGCCCCCTGAGTTTTCCCGGTAGACATCACTCCTCTGTAGCAAGAATATAAATGGCGGACGTGCGCAAACGTTTTTTCCCTAGGCTGGGTGTGGAGTCCATTGGTGGAGATACCAGGGGAGGGGAGGGGATTTTTTTTTAACCAGAATCCCACTGTGACATCACAAGGAGAGCATATTTGAAACAAAGCATTTTTCTCTGTGTTGTAAGACTTATGCAGACCACAAACAAAGGACTGGATGGGTTTATTTAACATGTTGTAGGTCAGTAGAGACTCAGGTTACCCAAATAAATGTTCAGAAACACTGTACGAGTGGATTTTTCAGAATATGTCCCCTTTAATCTAGTAGCCGGCAATGAACGGGTTAATAAGCATAAATAGTGTTTTCTATGGTGGCGACTGCTGCACTTGTAAAGTGTCTTTAGTTTATCTTTGTCGAAAGACTCAGATACCCTGCCGGCAACTTGTGCAACATGAGGAGCAACTCAACTCAGTCTGCATTGGAGTGAGAGACATTAATGAACGCCAAGTAAGCTTCCAGTCTTCAATTGGTAATCAAGTGTGTCTTTTGAATGACCACCTACAACAGATTATGGCTCGTTTAGACACACTTGGAGTTACTTCACCTGTTGAAAGCTTTGTTCCATCTCCTGAGACGCCACCTGCTTCTGTTCCTGCCTCCTCACCTCATGCACTGGTAGCTCCCACGCTGCACCTTTCTAAACCAGAAAGATTTTCTGGGGACTCAGACAACTGTCGCTCGTTCCTGGTTCAGTGTGGGCTACACTTTGTACTGCAAGCTGCCTCCTTCCCCTCAGAGTGGGCAAAAGTGGCCTATATAATAACTCACCTCACCGGCCGTGCAGAGGCTTGGGCCACTGTTGAGTGGGCTAGAGATTCTGCTGTTTGTTTTTCTGTGGACCTCTTCACCAGCACTCTCAGATAGATTTTTGACCGTTCCACTCCTGGTCTGGAGGCTTCCAGGTCCCTCCTCAGCCTTCGCCAAGGTAGAAACCGGGTTTCAGATTATGCAATCGAATTCCGCACCCTAGCTGCAGACAGTGGTTGGAATACTCCCTCGCTGCTGGATGCCTTTTACAATGGACTTTCTGACAGAATTAAAGACCAGCTCGTTCCCTTAGAGCGTCCAGCAGACATAGACTCCTTCTTTTCCCTTTCCAAAGACTGTGGTTTGAGGTGTGCTCTTGAGTTCAATTACCTGTGGTTCTGTTACAGATAAGATTACCTAAAAAGAAATCAGTCTTGCCTTCAGTAAACAATCATGGAACTTCCAACACATAACCAAACTTTTTTATTGTAGGCTAATGAACTGATAACATGGTTATTATACTTGGAATGGAACTGGAACTTGAACTTGAGAAGACGTCAGCTTGTGGATGTTTTCATATATTCTCAATTTCCATGAGCAGCCTTGAAGCAGTTTCGGTGTGGCACAAAGCACAGGTGGATGTTGCACTTGTCACAAAAGACGTGTGTTTTTCCTGAACAGTATGGCATCTGGTAGCCTCGTTCTTTTCATCATAATTTGGCATGTGGTCAACCATGTTATGCTGCATTTCAGGTAGAGGCCTTACATCCTGAACTGGTCTGTGGGGCACATGCTGTGGTTCGGGAGACATACTGGGTCTTCCACGTTTTCCTGCCACAGTTTTATGGACTCTCACCAGACACTGGGCCACATTCATCTTGAAATGGAGGAGATCCTGGATGTCTTTGGTCTGGATATTGGCCCTCTTGGCGTCCAGCCTGTACTCCAACCAGCTGTTGACCACAGCCCTGTCAAAAGCATGTGTGATCATTCTCAGGGTCCACTTTTTTGACCGAATATGTGTACGGTACAGACTGACAAGTTGATCAAGCAGGTCAACGCCGCCCATTGCTTCATTGTATAGCTTCACCACTTCTGGACGCGACACCATCACAAATTGGGCCCTCTTTTTGTACCACCGCTGCACTTCATCCATTCAGCCAACACCAACGAAGTTGGAGGCCATGACAACTGGTCTGTTGTCATAGCATTTGACCATTGCCACCTTACCATCACGGCTGGTTGTTGGGTCACATTCAACCAAAAAGACAAAGATCCCTCTGTTACGTTCAGGAACTCTTCCTTTAGCTTTAGAGACGAGCAGGTTTTAACACCACTCCCCCCCAGAGGACAGAGTCCGTTTGTTGTGTGAGGGAGGGGAAACTAAGAATGTGATTCATTTGTCTAACTGTCCCATCTCAGACGGCATAAGGGACAATCTTTTTGGAGAATAAAAGTCCATAATGTTGATTTTATTTTGTGTTTGGAGGATTTTTAAAACACTTGAAACACACTTGTTTTTTAAATAAAAAGCAGAACATGAGGTTTAAGAGTGAGCTGAAAAGGATGAGGCCACTTTGTTATGACTTGTAATTAATTGCTGAACCAGTTCTGTACTGTATCTCTGCTGTCTTATAAAAGACATAAAGACATGAGGGTTGGACAGTTTGGTGCATGACACGTAAATAAAATACAAACAATCAAAGCTCCACTAGCTGCAGTAAGCCTGATTGTTTAGAAGTCTAAGATAAACGGTCCAACTTCTCAGTAAACATTTTCCTCACAAGTTTATGTTCTCAATCTCTAGTTTCAAGTCTTCTTCAATACAACGTGAAGGTCATTTTATACATCACAGTCCCGGTTGGAGTCAGATAGACCTTAATGGGAGGATTTGGGGGGTGCTAACTGTGACGACCTTGTGTTAAAAGATTCAGGAGTGGAGCGGCTGTGGGTTCAAATCCGACCTCAGCTCTGTGCTGCATGTCATCCCCCCGCTCTCTCATTTAACATTTTCTGTCTCTCTTCAGCTGTCCTATCCCATAAAGGCAAAAAGGTCCAAAAGAAACTAAACACAATAAAAGACTCCTAAGAGTCTGTTGCTTTTTTTCAGCTCTCTATAATGAATTTAGACTGTAGTACCCATTTTAAACAATAGGTGTCATCGCTCCATATTGCTCCTTGTGTAAATTTACAGTGAGCAGACACACTGACTACATCCTCTTCATGTTATCTATCATTTACGGTGACATCTCAAATCGTTTTCCATCAGCAGAGAACAAACAGAGAAGCCGTGTGTGTTTGGTTTGTATCCAACAGATCAGTTTATTAGTTGTTTTTACACAGTAAGAGTGTGTTTTGTCAGGACTCAGAGAGTGTCTGCACACAGTGACTCACGCTGCACACTTCATGTTCCAACATTTCTACTGAGAGCCACTAAAACACCGCAAAACAAACTCCATACAGGAGAAATCAGAGACACTACCAAAAAACCTAAAAAAAAAAATATACAATCATACAAACCAGGAATATTAGAAAACTATACAGCATTAATGTGCTTGATGTCATTTCTGCATTACAAATATTATTTATTTTTTCTTGTGATTTCATGTTCGGCTGTAATCGTGGTTTAAAGATCATCTGAAGACTTCGACGACATTAACATGAAAACATCAAATCGAGAAGCTGAGGAGGAGAAAGTCCTCCAGAAAAATCAGAAACTGGAATACTCACGCGGCATATCAGTCCTGAAACATAATTGCATATCACAGCTTCACACAGCCTCTTTAAATACTCTCTCTACACTTTCTTACATGTATATATAATATACAAACCCTCCGCGGCTGATCCCAGCACAGCATGGAGACGACTGCAGCAAGAAAAATAAGTTAAAGATGTGTTAAAGTCGCTAGTTCGGAGTAGAAACCGGGAAAAAGAAAAATCTAATTTCACCAGCAACGAACTTCACCATGTCACACAGAGAGCGCCTGTCCTGATCCCGCTCTCTGAACTGAAGAAAAAAAGCAGCAAAAAACAAGAGTGATGCATCATCCAGGGAGCCTTCAGTCAGAGCTGAGGGCAAGAAACGCTCCACGCAGCGCAGAGGACTAATAAATTAAAGATTTAGAGAGTCCAGGTGCTCGTAGAGTCCTTTAAAAAACGGACAGGAGAGGAGAGGAGACAGAGCAGCTGGACGTACAGCAGGACTGTATTTACATCCACTACGGGTCACTAAATCCCCCCCCATCCTGGATTTACTGAAGTCTGCCATCAGCCACAAGAAAGGAAACATCAGTGGGTTCATGTAGGGCCTTTTTCTGTCTGAAGTTTGCAGAGGTAGTTTCACATTGAAGACGGGATATGGATGCTGATTTAAAAGTCCAGACTGTTGGAATCGACTCGACAGGAGGTGAGAAACATCCTCCTCTTGCTGCTGCTGTTGGGAAACGGGACTCTCTTGTAGGTCATCATGAGCGGAGTGAAACTCTCAGACGGCATCACTGCTCTCACTAATCACCTCCTCCATCTGTCTGCAGAGGAGGAGCTGATGCAGAAGTGAAGGACTGGGGGTTGGGGGGGGACTGAATCATCAGAGACAAATCCGGGTCCCAGCAGAGTCCGCAAGGCCCGTTGGCCGAGGAATACAAACCAAGAAGAAGAATGCGAAGGCTGTAGGGAGGGGGAGGCCAGGTTAAAGCTGGAAGCCCTCCATGGGTCCTTCCTGCTGCTGGAAGACAAACTGACCCTGGTTCTGGTCCACCTGCGGGGCCAGGCTGGCGTCCTCCTCGTCCACTCCAAAGTAATGCTCGATCAGGTCAAAGGCCTTCTGGTAGATCTCCTGGTTCTCGTGACTCTGCAGGAACTCGATCTTATCCAGACCTGAAGAGGTTTACACACAGACACATGCAGCTCATTTAGGGCGCACTCGCTGTAGACCCAGTTGTCCCGTACAGTACCATCCCCCTCCCTTCTCCCCCGCTGGCCTGCACTCACACTGCTCCAGTCCCAACGGGGCCTAAGCACGGTTACCTCTTGTACATACATTATCATCAAACGTGTAGTAAACAATGTGTATATGAATTTCAAAGTGCAAATATTCTGTTTCCTCCCTCGCTCACTTGAAGACAAAAGTCCAGGAGCACACCACAACGGTGCATCTTTATTTTACACATTTAAAAATGTGTACAAACTGTTTAGACATACAGTGATTATTTTATACCATTAGCTTTAGCGAATAAGGTGAGGGAGCAAAGAGTTTCTGTTCTTTGAATGACCTGACCCAGGCTTCTCTAATGTTGGTAAATCAGTCACAAAGGTATTTTCTGCTAGTGAAAGCTGCAGTATTTCTTTACACAAAGTATTTAAAAAGTGCAGCAGAGCAGGTTTCAGCAAACTTGCTCGTCATGTGTTGCATGGAGCATCCTTACCGTAAGCCTCCTCGATGAGAGCGCAGTACGGGTTGATGCCCGAGCCGTTCTGTTTGGCCTCCTGTTCGCCCAGCCGGAGGATGTTCTCCAGCCCGTTCAGAGACACCTGAACGATCTTTGAGTCCATCACCGTCAGCAGGTCGCACATGGGTTTGATGGCGTTCAGAGACACCAGATACCTGTTCACAAACACACACACAAAAAAGTGTGACCTTTTGTTTTAAAGACACAAGTTTGATGAAAATATTGACAAATATTTTACGTTTCTTAGCTTTTAATCTGCAGTTACTGACACTGACTCTGACAGTGTTCCCGGTTACATTTGCTCTTTATTCATCAGTCATGAAGAAACCTGAGAGTTTTGATACCTGATCTGTGCAGGTGTTCCCCCAGAGGTGGCGTTAGTGATCGCCCACGCTGCCTCCTTTCTCGTGCGGAACTCGGCCTTCTGAAGGATCTCAATCAAGACGGGGAAGATGTTCGCATCGATGACGTTCTGATGAGAGGAGCAGACACAGAGCAGGAACATGACGCACAGACCAAACCACGCGGCTCTTTTACACACTGCTAGAACTCGTTTCTGGATGGGTGGAGGTGTTCAAATGACTGAGGGAGTAAAGGAGGATTCTGCAGGATGTGTCAAAAAGTTAACATCAGCACTTAATGATCATAAAGGATCCTGTGGTAAAGATCACTATTTTGTTTCCTTTCACTTCCTTTAGTTCACTTCCTGGTTTCTCTCTTCCCCTCATTTCCCTTGATTGGTTGCCGTTTGCACTCTGACCCTCGTTAGGTAGATTGAATTCACCTGATCACTGCTGATTTAAAAACAACACTCCTTTGCACTCGCTCTTTGACCTTCACATGGGGCGGAAGTTTGAAACATCCCATGTGTGTTTTTTGTTACCCCCTTTATTGAACCAAAAATAAATCTTATAAACTACAACACAAGTTTCCTGGCTGGACTCATGAATCCTGACCAGATGCCCGAGAAATCTGAAACTTTCTTAACAGATTCATATCGAAGCCTTTGAGGTTTTCCAGATCATTTACTTGGTTTGTATTCGTCTGACACGAAGAGTGATCACATAGTTTGTGTCTTTCTTTGATCAACTTTTCTGTCTTCTGAATGAAGATTGTAAGTTTGTGTTTCTGAATCTTAAATGGTATCTTAATTGATTGTTATGCTATCAAAAAGTTTGTCAAAAATCTATAATTTGAATGATTGATTGTATCCACAAGAACCAAAGCTTAAAAAAACACTACAGATCTTCAGTCTTATTTGAACATCAAATATAAAATCACAGATCATAAAGCCAATGACTAAAATGTCATCAATGAAAAGGTGTGACTGACACAGAGGACGTCAGTGAGCTGCAGGTGAGGCCGTCTTACCTGGATCTGAGCTCTGTTTCCTGCTGTGATGTTGGACACGGTCCAGCACGCCTCCTTCTTGATGGACTCCTTTGGACTGCTGAGGAGGTGCAGTAAACACGGAAGAGCTGAACAGTTCAAGATTACCTGAAATCACAGACAGAAACATTTTAAAACAGGTTATGAAGTTTTATTAACCAACATATGTAAAAGCTTACACACAAAGAAGAAGGGGAGAGAACGAGCGTCTACCTGAGTCTGGATGTCGTCCCCTGTCACGATGTTTCCCACCGCTCGTAAAGCCGGAGAGACCACCTTATAGTCACTGTGCCTGTAGTTTTGCAAAAAACATAGTTTTTCCGTTTGCAACATGGTTAAGATTACAGAAACAACAAGGTCAGCAGCATCTGTAACCGGTTATTCATGTGGAGTAGAAGTTTGTAATCAGGAATGGGTCACGTGATAAGAGACCGGATCGATCAGGGAAGGAAGACCTAATCAAGAAATGAATGTGTTCTCATTTTTCAGAGTTTCAGGGTCGTTTGCAGAAATGTAGGGGCTTTAAAAACCAGAGTTGTTGTGGTCTAAAATGAAAATGTAGCTAAACTAATGCATTTAAAAAATATCTGTGTGAAAAAGTGTTAAAGATGATCTTTGTTAAATGGTAAATGGACTTGAGCTTGAATAGCGCTTTTCTAGACTAACTAACACATTCATACACCGCTGACGAAGCAGCAGGAGTAACTCAGGGTTAAGTGTCTTGCCCAAGGACACATGGGACATGTAGCTGCAGGAGCTGGGGATCAAACCCCTGACCTTCCGGTTGAGAGATGACCGACTTAAAATCTAGTATGCTAAAGAAGTCGTGTGACCTGAGATAAACTGTAAATAAAGTAAGGACGACCCACATTATTTTGGCAACATGAAAAAACAAACAAAGGCTGCATCCTTAAATGCTTTGCTCCAAATCTGAAGTCATAAACCTGTTAAGTCAGTCTGATGTCTGGACGGTTAATAAACTGTCAGTTCTTACATGAGCAGCTCCACCAGTCTGCGGCAGACCCCCGAGTCGATCACAGTCTGGATCTTCTCGTTGGGTCCGTCTGACAGGTAGGACAGAGCCCAGCATGCATCAGCCAGCACGTCAGGATCGCTGCTGAACAACAGTCTGGACAGCACGCTGAGACACGGGGAAACCTGACATGGAGACAAAGGGACAGATTCTTACCGATTTAACTCTGCACTAGAGACACGGCTCCATCGTTTAGTGATCATTCACAGACTCACCTTTGCAAAGTCAGGCGGTGGATTCTTCCCCCGGCACAGGTTGGACAGAGCCCACACTGCGTTACGGGTGGTTGTGAGCCGGTTGGATTTAGCGAGCAGCCTGCAGGGGAAAACAAAAGGAAGCAGCTGTTATCACTTATGAGACACAGAGAGACAGAGAGAGAGAAAGGGGACACTTACTGCTGCAGGGACGGCAGGATGGAACAGTTCAGCACGTAGTCTCTGCACTCTGCGTTATCTCCGGCTATGTTCCCTAGAGCCCACACAGCCTGAAACACACAGTTAGCACAGTTAGCACACAGGCAACAAGCTTTAAGATCGATAAATCATCTTCTCTGTTCCTGTGTGAACTGTTTCTCCTCTGACCTGCTCCTGGACGTCCTCATACTCAGAGTTCAGCAGCTCGATGAAGATGGGAACAGCTCCTGTTTCAATCACCACTTTAGTGTGCAGAAAGGTGCCGGAGGCGATGTTCGTCAGAGCCCAGGCCGCCTCGAACTGTTGAAGACACACGAGCACACAAAATACACACAGGAAGGCATGTCAGAAACAACCCTCGAGTTTCCTGAAGCTCAATTGACATGTTAATGATACTGCGCTGAGAGATGTGGAATGTTTCCCCTGCAGGTTAATGTTCTTCTAATGGTTGTTATGATTGATGACGGTGACAGCTTGTACCAGATAAGAACCTGATATAATAAAGGCCAGCAAATATATATTTTAAAAAATAATAACAAATATATATTTCTTTACAATTTCCTGATCTGATTAAATGATTGAATCTGTGACTTAAATTTCTCACCTGCAGGGTGCAGTTTTCGCTCCTCTTCAGGAACTCCACAAAACGATTCACAACCCCAGCTGTGGAGATGACCTCGTCGATAGGAGGGTTCGGCTCTGCACGGAGGAAAAGATCACAACTCATCTGTCACTAAACAACACCTGGTTAAAGTAGAGGTTTAACAGAGGACTGCAGGTCTGGTTTAAGAGCTTTGATGAAGTCCTAGTTCAGGTTTAATCTCTATTTTTTTACTCAGTTAAAGATATTACAGGTAACTGAATGAGGCATAAAAAAAAAAGATTGGCATGTAGTCTTCAGGTGAAATAACCATGTGATGTAACACAAACCTTTGGAGAGCAGTTTCCTAAATTTCTGTGTAGCAATCAGCTGCTGGTCGGGGTCCTCAGAGAAGATCATCTGAATCATATCAGGAGTAATGACTCCATCCTGCACACATGATGAGTTCTCAAAATCAGGCTCAGATCAATCATAGTAACAGAAACAAATGTAAGCTTGGCAAGTGATTTTTAATAATAAGAACCAGATCACTGAAAGAAAAAAAGTCAACAAGTAAATCAACACTTACACCTGTGACGGGTACGGTGGAGCTCACATCTGGATCCTGGATTGGACACTCCAGCATCGACTCTTCACCTGAAGGAACACTAACGTTTCTCCTCTTGAACAGCTGTGGACACATTATTAACCTGCTGGTTAGATTTACATCACAAGACCCATCTGACATCCCTCTACTGACTGAAGCACATCCACACATAGGAACAAACACATAAAGGTTACATTGAAGTTACACCGTCATCCTAACAGCAAGTTATATATCGCATTGCATCCACACGATGGCACGGCACGCTGGCTGTCCACACTGCATCTGTTATATATTTTGGTCTCTGCTCGGTGAATTTCAGCTTCCCCTTGTAAACAATTGGACATCTAGTGCTTTTGCAATGAAGGCGGACAAACCAGTTGATAAGTGGTGCTGCTTTGTACTGACAAGTTGTTGACTCAAGTCATAACACTCAGAGGCTCGTCAATAAACGGCTCAAGGTGGCTATGCACAGTTATCTTCCGATTGCACATCAAGCTAACGAGCTCTGTTGAGTGAGAAAAGTGAGTCCCAGCGCCTTGTAGAGCCTCCTAGTTCTTTGTTCATCGCTAATTAGCGACAGAGGAAAATAGAAACAGGGCGTTTGGGGTAAAAAATAAAATAAAAGGTGCACCGCGTCCATTGCTTGGATTGCGTGCGGTGAAGACACACCAACAAGAAACAAAAGAATCCCGCTGATTTTGTTACTGGCGCTCGCTCCCGTCGCGTGCTGTTAGGACAGTTTTTTAGGAGTGTGCTGATGTGTAGGGACAGACCTCTGAAGTTTTAGAGTTCATTTAAAAATATATATAAACTAGCAGTGAGCTGGGAGAAAATGTGTTCATGTCGGGATTCAAAAACAAAATCGGAAAGTCTGCTCAACACTGTTTCAAACAGAATGTAAATATTACATTTTTATTATTATTATTATATTAAATTTAGAATCTATGTTTCAGTAAATGGAGCTAGTAGTGTAGGGTAGGTGAGCTGTTGGTCAGCCAAAAAAAACAACCTATTCTCTCTTTAAAAATCAAAAAGCATATTACTCAAACTGGTCTCATAACTTCAGCAGTTGATGTTACTGGGAGCCCGAGTTTAATGACTACAGCAAATGCAGCAGATGTTTATCAGTGATCCCCAGGCTCAATCCCTCCAACACTAAGTGGTTCAGTAAAGTGACTTTACAGATCTAAAACATGATTACAGGATAATGACTTTAGAGTAGGGCTGTCAACTAAAACTCTGAAATGTTCATGCTCTTTGTCAATTGAGCTTCTGCATTTGTGTTTTCCATTATAATACACAAAACAGAGAGCAGAGCGGCTGAACTCTGTCACATCAAATGACCAAGCGAGGCATTAAAATGTGGGTCACTCACGGGTAATCAGGAGATTTAGGTTGGAGTTTAATGAGGGACTAAAAAGAATAAAAGAACTGAAGGTCAAAGTTTAACAGTGTTGGCTCTGAGTGAAAACATTTGAATGCAACATGTTCTGGATCAGTTGTTTTATACTGAGCTGCTTGTTTACCTGCTCCTCTCTCTTCTGTTTGCGGAGCTGGACTCCTTCCTCCTCTCTCCTCCGACGCATCTCCTGAGGATTCAACGCTTTGTTCTTGTAGCTCTTCATCCTGTAGTTGTCTTTTCCCGGACTCGCCATTGTGTCTAAAACAAAAAAATACCAAAGAGGGACAGACAGTTAATAATCAAATATTGAGGATCTTAATCTGGCAAGATCTTATATTAAACATTAGATTCAGTTATCCTGAAACTTTATTTCAACTGTGTCATTTGGCAGAGAACATCTTCTACACACAGAGAATCGATGAGAACTGTCACACCAATGAACGCAACATTTACGTCCCTGTGACGTTTCACCTACAATATGAATGTTGCAGAGGCTTAATTGGGTGATACAGTGATGCTGCCTCTGTTGGAGGTATTAACAGAGGAGTTACAGAGGCAAGACAGGATCAGCCAAGCCAGTAGAGGAGCACAGTGCCGTGTGTGTGCATGTCTAACTGTGTGTGTATATTGATGTATATATACGTAATGCAACACTGTAAGACAATGTGAATTCACAGACAGGGACACCAAATTTAAGCTGTCGCTTTCTCAATAGCCCTTTTCAGATTGCATTTCTGCAACAGCGCTGTAACAAAGCTCAGTCGTCATCACGTCTTTGTTTTTACATCCATATTGGTTCTGCGATGGCATAATATTGCACATTCCTGCACTCCCCCCACTGGCTCAAAGGTCCGTCCAAACGAATGAATCGGCTTTTTGTTTGTTTGTTGGTGTTTCGCCATCTTTCCAAATCGCCGCTGTCAAAAGACGCTTAATATGCATACGGTGTTTGATGTGAATGAGATACAGCTATTATCGCCACTACTGCCTGCATGCTAATTTGAGCGTTTTCTATCGTTTTTGCTTGCCATGTGGACTGAGATTTTTTAAAAACTGTTGGTGTGGACGGGATTTTATTTTTGCAACCGAGGGGGGGGGGGGGGGGGGGTTAGAAATATCCGTATACTTGTGGACATGGCCTAACTCTCTGATCCAGGTCTACACTCCCTCCTGCCCACTACGCTCTGCCAATGAAAGACGTCTGATCCAACCTTCACAACAGGGTCCTAAGTCTCTGACTAGACTCTTCACCTCTGTCGCCCCCCGGTGGTGGAATGAACTCCCAAACTCCATTCGATCTGCAGCGTCCCTCTGCACCTTTAAGAAAAAGCTAAAGACCCAGCTCTTTCATGAATACCTACTAATTTAATGATGATGGTCTCCATATTATTGATGATGATGATGGTTGTGACGATGGTTTTTGTTTGATAACGACAACTTATAAGATGGTTTCTATACTGATTACAGCTCTGAAGAACTGCCCTCAATGTTGTGCTTTTTTTATGTTGTGTTATAAAGGTGTTTCTTAATGTGTTATAAAGGTGTTTATAAGTGTTTCTTAATGTGTTATAAAGGTGTTATAAAGGTGTTTCTTAATGTGTTATAAAGGTGTTTATAGGTGTTTCTTAATGTGTTATAAAGGTGTTTCTTAATGTGTTATAAAGGTGTTTATAAGTGTTTCTTAATGTGTTATAAAGGTGTTTCTTAATGTGTTATAAAGATGTTATAAAGGTGTTTCTTAATGTGTTATAAAGGTGTTTCTTAATGTGTTATAAAGATGTTATAAAGGTGTTTCTTAATGTGTTATAAAGGTGTTTATAAGTGTTTCTTAATGTGTTATAAAGGTGTTTCTTAATGTGTTATAAAGGTGTTTCTTAATGTGTTATAGAGGTGTTTATAGGTGTTTCTTAATGTGTTATAAAGATGTTATAAAGGTGTTTCTTAATGTGTTATAAAGGTGTTTCTTAATGTGTTATAGAGGTGTTTATAGGTGTTTCTTAATGTGTTATAAAGATGTTATAAAGGTGTTTCTTAATGTGTTATAGAGGTGTTTATAGGTGTTTCTTAATGTGTTATAAAGGTGTTTCTTAATGTGTTATAAAGGTGTTATAAAGGTGTTTCTTAATGTGTTATAAAGGTGTTATAAAGGTGTTACTTAATGTGTTATAAAGGTGTTTATAAGTGTTTCTTAATGTGTTATAAAGGTGTTTATAAGTGTTTCTTAATGTGTTATAAAGGTGTTTCTTAATGTGTTATAAAGGTGTTTCTTAATGTGTTATAAAGGTGTTATAAAGGTGTTTCTTAATGTGTTATAAAGGTGTTATAAAGGTGTTTCTTAATGTGTTATAAAGGTGTTATAAAGGTGTTACATAATGTGTTATAAAGGTGTTTATAAGTGTTTCTTAATGTGTCATAAAGGTGTTTCTTAATGTGTTATAAAGGTGTTTATAAGTGTTTCTTAATGTGTTATAAAGGTGTTTCTTAATGTGTTATAAAGGTGTTTATAAGTGTTTCTTAATGTGTTATAAAGGTGTTTCTTAATGTGTTATAAAGGTGTTCCTTAATGTGTTATAAAGGTGTTATAAAGGTGTTTCTTAATGTGTTATAAAGGTGTTTCTTAATGTGTTATAAAGGTGTTTCTTAATGTGTTATAAAGGTGTTTCTTAATGTGTTATAAAGGTGTTATAAAGGTGTTTCTTAATGTGTTATAAAGGTGTTTCTTAATGTGTTACTTAATGTGTTATAAAGGTGTTTCTTAATGTGTTATAAAGGTGTTTCTTAATGTGTTATAAAGGTGTTATAAAGGTGTTTCTTAATGTGTTATAAAGGTGTTTATAAGTGTTTCTTAATGTGTTATAAAGGTGTTTCTTAATGTGTTATAAAGGTGTTTCTTAATGTGTTATAAAGGTGTTATAAAGGTGTTTCTTAATGTGTTATAAAGGTGTTATAAAGGTGTTTCTTAATGTGTTATAAAGGTGTTTCTTAATGTGTTATAAAGGTGTTTCTTAATGTGTTATAAAGGTGTTATAAAGGTGTTTCTTAATGTGTTATAAAGGTGTTATAAAGGTGTTTCTTAATGTGTTATAAAGGTGTTTCTTAATGTGTTATAAAGGTGTTTCTTAATGTGTTATAAAGGTGTTTCTTAATGTGTTATAAAGGTGTTATAAAGGTGTTTCTTAATGTGTTATAAAGGTGTTTCTTAATGTGTTATAAAGGTGTTATAAAGGTGTTTCTTAGTGTTAAAAGGTGTTTCTTAATGTGTTATAAATCAGCTGTTTGCTGTGCAGGGAGGAGGTCAGGACAAACTGAGCCCACAGCTAACTGTTGTCTGTAACAGATACACAGCTAACAGATCATTACAAAGACTCAACCTGTTCAAATGAAGACTGGACACACAGAAACCCCCACACAGCTTTAAAAAACACCTCTTAGTGGAGTAAAACTGAATCTATCTGTGCACATTCTGCTCTTAACGAGTTAGCTTCCGCGGCTAGCGTTAGCTCGGGAGCTAACGCGGCGTTGTGTCACATCTAACGGGTGTAATCGGTCGTAATGACGGTAACACCTGTCCGTTTAAAACTCTTTTAATTTACTGAAGCGTACCCAGTGGGGATCTAACGTACCTGGTGGTGCGTTGAGCCTTTTACGAGCTACAACCTCTGCTGCTTTCCCTCTGTTTCTCAGAGCAAAATGGCGGCCTGTTGAAACTTTCCCAGAAAACCGTTCGCGTCAACAACACGTGACGTCACTTCCGGCAGCTGTTGGCGGGTCTGTGAGCTTTAGCTGCAAAATGTTAATTTAGAAATACACTCATATTAGTATATCAGAAGTACACTTGCTAAATCTATTTAAGTATACACATGTAGATTTTCTCTGGTTGTTCATGTATTATTATCTTATTTATTATTGTTATTTATTATTTATATGTTTTTGTGTCTGTTTGAAACACACCACAAAATGTTCTTGACAGCAGATTTGCTTGTAAAGTTTATGTTTTCCTAATAAACAAATCTTTAAAAAAAAAAAAAAAAAAAACTCTCATATTAGAAAAAAGAAATCAGATACATGGTTCAAGGATTATTAAAAATATTATTTTGTTATACTTGGCACCTCTTAGACTATTATTTGATTTGAATGTATTTATTTAATAGGGACAATGCAATTTAACATAATTTCATACAAAGCATGAAACTGATGTGCTGCATAAAGAGTTATAGCTATTGCTCCAATTTCCCAGTTGTTCCTTTTTGTAAACAAACAGATTAAAATGTACAACATTCAGTTACATAAAACCTCATAACACATATGAGGATACATTAAAATACATGTACAACAATACAAATGCTATGCTAAGTTTGAAGATACTAATTAAAAAGGTACAGTTCTGGCTTGCTTTGAGCATTTCACCTGTTTTGTAAAAGATTTTAAGTCTGACATTAATTTGTATTTCAGGTGGTAATGTGTTCCAGAGTTTACAGCCTTTGATGGAGAAGGCTGATTGACCAAACGTAGATCTACGATGTTGTATGCTACGGTTTCCATTCACAGTGCTTCTTGTTACCCTGTTTCCATCCTGTCTTTGAACATATCTGGAGAGAGGTTCAGAGAGGGCCAGATTGTTGATACATTTAAAAACAAGTTTGATGACACATAGTGCATGAAGCTCTCAAAACTGAGTAGATTGTGTTTTTCAGTATGTGATTGTGATGTCACCGGACAGGTTTTTGTCCATTATTTTCAGGGTTGTAAAGTGATGAGAGGTTTCTGATTGTAGAGGGTGAAGCTTGTGCCCAAACTGTCATACACATGCATATGCAAACAGATTTGATGCCAATACTCTAGATCAGGGGTTCCCAAACTTTATAACATTAGCCTCTGTTGGGGACCCCCGTCTTGCAAAATGTCTTTAAATCCTTGTACATTATCTATCACAATCTATTGGTTTAATGTATATTATTTTCAATTAACACGTCCCAGTGTATGATCTGTTTTTTTTAATGTCATTATTCCACCATTCCATCTGTTATATTTTTCACTGTCTTGTTGTGTACATTTCGTAGCACAGGACATTAAGATGGGAAGGAAGTACTTCACCCCACACCTCACACACTAAATGGAAAGTTGACCACCTCACAGTGCAATACAAGTGTGCAATATTAACCTTAAAAACAAAAAACGAATTATATAATGTGAAAAATATGTGTGTGATAACCTCAGGTGCAATAAGAGATAATAAGTGCAATAAAAAACATTTCATTGTACATTTTGTTATTTTTTTGTATTATATCTTTGCTTTAATACAGTGTATAGCTTCTGTACAGTTTATTTTAAATCACTTAGCTGTTACTACAACTTTTTTTTGTGAACTTTTCTACTCTTTTTTTCTTATAATGCTATTCTATGTTATATATAATTTTAACTTTTTTTGTAGAAGCTGACTCAGGGAGAAACGCACAAGAATTCCAATGTACCTGTACTGTCCTGTACCTGTGCAAATGGCAATAAACATCTATTCTATTCTATTCTATTTATTTGTTATCTTATTCAGTTATTTAACTGGGACATGTGAGATGAACATTGCTTCATAAAATACAAAGTAGATGCCGTGCACACAGGTTTTAGCCGTGGTTTATTTGCAACCCCTGTCCCTGGATAGGCTTTCATTAAAACATAATCATTAGACTTAAAGAAATACAGAAATAGTGATACTTTAAAATTGCTTCAGTGACAGCTTGTGTCTTAAAAAACTTGAACTCAGTCAGTAAAAGAAAGAAATATATTCGAGCCAGTTCTTCCTTTTGCCTCTTGATGGCGCTGATTCTCAGACTCTTTTTTTTCTTCTTTTTTTTAACCGTCTTCATTGACAAATTTAACATGTACAAAAAATGTTTATACAAACCAGTCTATGATACAAACTCTTAAAGAGGATGAACATACAACAGCAAAATACACAGGAACAAGTTAATTCAAACATAAATCAAGACTAGGGGGGATTATACATAAAAAATAAATAAATAAAAATCAAACTTTTCCAAAAGAAAACATCAGGCAAATGTAAGCTGACAACAAACTGGAGCAAGGACAAAAAAAATTCAACAAGGGCCAGAAATCAAAACAAGAATTTCGATAAGTCAGCACTCAATCTTTCTAGCAATCCTGCAAGATTTCATTTTTTTCAGAGGTAAGAAAAAATATTTGAAATCATTTATAAACCAGTCTAAGGAGGGTTTGTTGTTTCTCCACTCACTACACAGAATATGATATTTACTCATGAGTAAAATAACATTTACCATGTCAGTAATTGAAGGGTTTAAATTATCCATAAAATAAAGAATACTATAAATATCAAAAGATGGAATATCATTAATTTTTAGCGACAACCAACTTCTAATGTTGATCCAAAACCTTTGAGACACAGGACAGAAAACAAACAAGTGCTCTGAAGTCTCTTCACCACAAAGCAGACTCAATCAATGGATATCAGAAGTCTGAAGTTGCTGCATGAAACCATAGATCTGCAATATTAACAACAGCAACATCGCTTAAAACAGAAACACCAAGTCATATTTATCAAACGTAGAATGTTCTAGTTCTAACACTGTAATTATCCCATTAATTAACGTTCCTCTTCTTACCACACCGCAGTGATACTACGGCGTCAGACCAAACTGTGAGAACGCCGATATGATCGATCGCCACAGGGCCAGCGCAGCACGCAGCACGCCCGGTGTGTTAGCTTCAAAGTAGCGGTGATGATTTTTACAACTTGTAGATAACCTTCAGGACACAAAACATGACGGACTACGCCGAAGAGCAGAGGAACGAACTAGAAGCGATAGAGTCCATCTACCCAGACTCCTTCACAGGTCTGAATTACATTAATGAAGACAGGAAAGTTACAGTCACGGAGCTAACATGCTAGCTGCAGAAGAGCATGTTAAGTAGCTGGTTTTGGTATTTACATCCGAGGAGGAAAAGTAAAAACAGACGGATTTTATTCACTATTCTGTTTGACATTTAGTGCTGTTAGATGGAGGTAATGTTTAAAAGTAACCAGAGTTAAATGTCAAACAAGCAGCTGTCACAGTGGGCCTTTAACTCAGTGTTATGTTCAGAAGATTACACCAAACTCCATTCAGAAAAAGTGCCAATCATCAAATATCGATTAAAACACGTTTATTTTGTGATAAACATAATATTAAAGTCCAGTTTTAGGTATTATGAAGGTTTACTTAAATTCGGCATGTATATTAGACTATTATTAAGTTGCATTATTAGCATTGACTGCATAGTTCACCACAGTGAAGCTGCAATTAAGAGATCAATGAAGATGTCTTATTGTTGTCGTGTGTTTAATGACAATCTTTGCTTCTTTAAAAGAATATCTATCTTTAAGATGTAAGAAGGGCAGCAAGCTTGTTGTTTACTGGCACATGATGCAATTATGTGACTCAGACAGCAACATAGAATAGAATATAGAATAGAATAGAATAGAATTACTTTATTGATCCCAAACTGGGAAATTGTGTTGTTACAGCAGCAGGTTGTCCAAACACACAATATGAGCAAAAAACACCATATTAGCAAATCTAAACACAATATAATATTAAATACAAAGTAAATAAGCACTAAAAATATCAAAACTAAGAATGTGAATATATACAACCAGGATTTAACTAAACATTACTCGTCTTTAATAGGAAGATTAAATGTAAATGTGCAAAAACAGAGTAGTAAATGGACAGTATTGACATAAGTTAAAGTGCATGAGTGTAGACATGTTATAAGCAGAAACTATTCAGTATAACGGCGAGTAAACAGACAAATGAAGTGAACATAAGTGCAGGGATAATTTGTAAACATGAGCAGAACAGATGACAGTAAAGGAGAGACAGATGTTATCATGATGACAGTTCTCTGCTCGCATTAGGTGAGCTGCTGTACAGAGTTATGGCCTTCGGTAAGAAAGATTTCTTGTATCTGTCCTTGAAACTCTGTCACTGACCCGTGTGTGTCTGTTTGTAGTTCTTTCAGATAACCCCACCAGCTTCACCATCACTGTGACGTCAGATGCAGGAGAAGATGGAGAAAGTGAGTACCCTGATGTTTCAGTAAATCATTCAGTGCGTCTTTAAACTGTGAGATTAAAAACGCCAACTATTGTATCAAGATATGGTGAGAAATAGAACAACTTCAACTCTGTACATTAGAGATCAATGGGAAAAGGAACTAAAGAGAGAAGTAACAAAGGAAGAGTGTTATAACACGTGTAGGACACAGAGTAGAACGACAAGCTCTAGAATGTGGAGGGAATACGGTTGGAGAAATAGTGTGAGATTTTTCATCACACCAAAACTCAAAGGAAGATTGTCACTTGTCCCACGGCCTCGCTGGAGACAGTGTGGGGAACACAATGTGTGAAAATGACTGAGTCCTGGGATGAAGTGTGGAACGGAATGAAAGCAATTTTAGGTTATGAACTTCCTAAGACTTGTGAAGTGCTGTATCTGGGAAATCTAACACAGGAAAATATACAAAACAAAGACAGATACCTGGCTGGAATACTACAGGTGGCATCAAAGAAAGCTATAACAAGAAAGTGGTGTAAGGAGGATCCTCCCACTCAGAGAAACTGGTTGGACATTGTTGAAAAACGACATGATATGGAGAACTTTACACACAATTTAAGACGACAACAGTCTGCATGCCAAGGAAAATGGAGAA